TGGGAGGAGCTTAGAGGTTTAGGCCCCGTCCACACGTATCCGTAAATTTTTATATTCGCAAAATATTTTTTGCGGATACGAAAATGTTTGCGTCCACACGCAGCGTATTCGAATCGTTTTCACCGTCCACACGTATCCGTTTTCGTAAAATTTGCGGATACCGATACAAAAATTTACGGATACGTGTGGACGGGGCCTCACTTTTGAATTCAATGCATAGCAATATCTAAACTTGTGCGTGATGGCAGCCTTGCTGAAATATAATATCAGCAATTTATATAGCTAATATTGGTAATTCTTTATCTTGTTTTCATAAGATAAGAAATTTGGAGACTGATGTATCATTTTGTAAGTCTGTAAAAACATACATTTTCTCTCTCATAACAGTCCAAAAATTCGTTCAATGAGGGCCCGGTACCTTTGACTATTGGTTCGAAAGCTATAATGCTATCAATTAGGTAGTTAAAAAAAAATTATCAGGCGCGCACATTTAAGGGGAAGGATCTTCTGGTTGATTACAATTTCTTACATTTTGAATTAAGAGGAATTGATAAGGATAAGGGTAATGTTTGTGGTGGATTAAAAGACAATCTTCGGCAAGGAGTTCTTCAGAAATAAATTTGTTGATTGGTGTTCCTGTGGTATTCACGTGTGTTCACGAATCCGGTTTTCCACAAAAGATAGCGTAGGCTCACGTAAATATCAAAAATAGCGGCGTACATGAAACTTATTTGTATCGCCCGCCATATTTGTTGACTTATGAGTCTGCGCGATTAAAAAAAACACGGCATACGCGTCCATACCAAAAAGCATTGCTTATTTTGCTGATCAAATATTTTATTAGAGTGCCGTTACTACAGCGTGTTAAACTCAAGAGATCGTGCTCAAGGATTACACAGAGGTAACACATTGAAGTGCGACAACACTCTCGTTAAAGGCTGGTACCGCTTCATGGGAGATGCTGGGACAGCTATGCCGACATCATGCACCCGTGAAAACTACTGCGGAACTCATGCCTCTGGGTGGATGCAAGGTTCTCATCCCACCCAGGCAGAGGGTATCGTGAATCGTGCGGTGTGCTATCATTGGAGTAGTAGATGCTGTAACTGGAATAACAATATTCGTGTCAGAAACTGTGGAGGGTTCTACGTGTACGAGCTTGTCAAACCGACAGCGGGGTGTTACCTTCGTTACTGTGGTAGCGGAAATAGTAAGTATAGTTTTTTTTACTCGGGCTACCTGTGGTAGACCGAGTCTAGGTTTCGGTTTTCTATCAGTCTATCTATCGACGCTGTCGAAAGTGTTTAAGCCTGAACTGCTCGGCGGTCTGATGAGAGAGACAACAGAGAAAATATCCCAAACAACATGGACGCCATATTGGAATCTCTGTAGATAACAAATGCGTTTCCAGAATCGAGAATTCTTGGACTTACATCAATAGCAGTGAGGATAAGCTTTTTGTTTATTATTTTGTTTGCAATTTTGAACAGTTTCTTCAGCAGTTTATCGTTCGTTCAGCTATCATTAACGAGTGTGTTGATCGTTGCCTTGTGCATGGTTTTGGTTGTACAACAGATCATAAATGTGTCAACAAAGACTTTGGCAAACTCTCTACAGCATAACTGAGATATTCAAAAAGCTGTACAATTAACTGTATTTGTTCATCCCAATAAAGAGTTATATTTATCAAAGGAATGCAGGTCTCGTTATGCTAAATTCCTTACTCATGTTGAGCACAAGGCTCGTGAAATATTTCCCATGATCGAGAACCAAGTAGAGTTCCAGTTCACAAGTCTTTTGCCTAAAAGCAGAAAAATACGAAAAGGGTTCGCAATTATGTCGTGAAAAACGTGCGTATGTCATCTAGAATGCATTGCTTTGTGAATAACTGTAATTTTGATCACGAAGAAGTGAAGTATCCCAAAAGTGATCATCGAAAGTTTAAGAGAAACTCAGCTTCTTTTCCCAGACGAAGAAAACCATTTGGGTCTAGAAAATCACTTCTTAAATTTCATAAGAGAGCAATGAAGGCCAAGCTTATATATTATCTTCTACTTTTGACAAATCCAAGTTCACAAAAATGTAATTCATGTAGTTTATTACATGTTTATCCCAATTTCTGCTCCACAACTTAAGGTAATATTGCATTATTTGGGCCAAATGCTGGTCATCATTGTGTAGCCATGTCACTGTTTGCATTGCTATATAAACATAGGAACTCAGTAAGTTCTTCAGCAGATTTAGTAAGCATTATGTATACTGGGAATGAGTTATATTCTGTCCTGTCAAGATTGCACAACCAAGACTTTTTACTTTTGACAAAGTTACCTCGGATAGTAACAGTATTAGAAACTAATTACCAGATGGAATACAGCCCAAGTTACACTGGTAATATACATGATATTTCAACTACTGTCGATTTCCTTTACTCTAGTGCATGCCCTTTAGGTAATGCTTTGCAAATTTTAATTGGAGAAAATTACCAGTCATTCCTGTTAACTATTCAATGTAATACAGTACAGCGGCGGCGGAAGCTGAAAAAGTTTTGGGGGGGGGCACTGCAAAAAATCTGTGGGGGAGCACTGGAAAAAATCACAACAATAACTTAAGCAGTGTTTTCACTGCATAATTAATGATTCCGACGGGATCATGCTTATAATCGATAACCATGATCCTTTGCGTCTCTGTCATATAAATATACGCTCCCATCTAGAGCGTGGTCACTTCAACAGATCAGACTCCGTGGAAGGTTACATTTTTGAACCCACCCACCTCCCCTGGTGGCGGTGACATACCACACGATACCCCCGGTTCCGCCGCCCCTGCAGTAGCTATTTGCTGTAATGATGATGGCAGATTTAAGATATTTGACTCTCATGCTCGTAATCCATCAGGTCTCCCCCATCCTCAAGGTACTTGTGTACTCCTAGATGTTGATGACTTTAATGCTATAATAAATTACTTCCAAAGCGACAACAGAAACAACAGTGATATTGCAAATATAAATGCCAATAATACCAATGGTATTCCTTTGTGGAGTTGTTGTTTGCCAACTTTGTGCAAACCAAACACCAAAAAACTTGACGGCTGGGGCTCCAAGTGCTTATACTTCGTCAAATACACTACGGTAGCCCGAGTTCACGCCACGAAGGGCGTCCAGTTTCTTATCATATACTCTTAAGCTATAGTTCAAGTCTAAACCTATTGATAATGAAACGTATAGAGTGATCATAAAACACCCACCAAATTCTTTAGTACACTACCAAAGGTGGGGAAATATGTTTTCAAAGGTGGAAAAATGTTTTTTCAAAGGTTGTTAGATATTTTTTCAAAGGTAGGGAAGTATTTTTTAAAAGGCGGGAAAATATTTTCCCTTTTGTAGTTTTATACTGTAAGACATTAAGAGGCTATGTCTGTAAAAATCAAACATCTAGCGGCCAAGTTGAAAAAATCGATTTTTTTCATATTTGGTCCAAAGATGTAGAATATCATCCCAATAAACGTACTGATGTTCATTTTGAATAATTTCA